CGATGTTCAGCCAGAGCAGCTGGGAGGTAACCCCCAACACACACAGGGTCAGCCTCCTGCAGCAGCTTCCCGGCAAGGGTGTCCCCAAAGATGCAGCGTTCTTTTGACTGATGGTGCCTGAGGGCTTCCAGGCAGCTCGACATCTCTCTGGATGTCAGCACACTTTTACTAACTCCCCGAAGATGCACGAGGGCCAGCTGATGGAAAGGAGAGCCAGAACACTTAAGACACAGGCCAGGAGAGGCCCCACAGGAAAGGTACTACTGCCAATCTGCAGAGCACGGTATGTATGCAAGAGCCAGAAGTCAGAACAGAGTGTCCAGGACAGAGTGATTCACACGCCCAGGGCAGGGCTGCCAAGCACGGACGGGAAAAGCTATGTGTGTTATAGTCGTTATACATACTTGTTTGACTCTCCTTCAATGCTGGAGAACACAGACAGCCCTAGAACAGCAAAAGCAGAAGTAATGAATGCCCAGGCAAAGCCCCCTGATGTCAACCAAAGACCAAACCTTCCCACGCTTTGCACCCACAGACTCGGAGGGGGCTGCAGAACAGGCAGGGGTACAAAAACCTTACTGAAAAAACAAGACTTGCAGCGAGAGACCTGCCATACCACAGCTTGTGCTGAAATTACCAAAATGTAATGGTGGCCAGTTTTCCAAGCACAAGAAGTATTAGATCAGCATTTTCATAGCTTTAAAAGGAGCCAAGAGTCAGGCCCAATGGCACACACCTGTAGTCCCAGTACTTGGGAGGTGGAGGCAGGAGGATTAGAAGTTTCTTCAGAGGCTAAGGCAGGAAGATTTTTGTAAGTTCGAGGCGATCCTGGGTTTCGGTGTAAGATTCTGTCTCAGGAAAGATGGTTCAGTGGGCAAAGGCACTTACATGTTAGCCTGGTGACCTGATTAATCCCTGGGACTGATTGTAAGGGTGGAAGGTAGAATGTACCCCACCAAGTTAGCTTCTGATTTCCACACGTGTCCCCACACTCATAAATAAGGAATAAACTTTAACTCAAAACCCACAAAAAAGAGACAGATTTGATTACTTTAAAAATCCCTGTATTACTAAGTAAATAAGCCACTCAAAGTGGAAAATTTCCAAAGTTCTCTACAGAACAAAAAAACTTAAGAGCAATTTCTTGTACTTCTCAAATATATAAGAAAAAAAAAGAGGCAGCAAAGTCCAAAAACAGAGGAAAGCAGATGTGCATACACATAAATGTTTCTCTCCAGAGAAAGCAGATATGCACACACATAAATGTTTCTCTCCAGAGAAAGCAGATGTGCACACACATAAATTTTCCTCTCCAGAGAAAGCAGGGGTCCGTAAAACTTGGCCCAGAGCTTGTATCTGTAATTCATTTTACTGAAAAAGTCAGGACCCCCATTACAAAGGCAGGCCTTGTAAAAGAAATCACATCACCTGCAAAGCCTTAGGTACTATCTAGTCCTTCACATAAAGTTGTTGACCCCAGTTATTATAAAATGTAAATTGGAATAAAACTAAGAGTAGTTTTTAGACGATCAGGTTGGGTTAAAATTTTTCAGACTTTCCCAGGGTTTTCGTACGGGAATGTACACTCACTGTTGCTGGTGTCGGTCACTGAAAACATTGTGAACGGCTGGCAGTATTCATCAACACTTGAATGCACACACTAATTCTGCAGTCTCACTGACAGAACTATTCCAGGTGCACAAAGTGCAGTCGTGTGTAAATATGAAGGCCGTCAATATTGCAAATGCATTTAATTATAAACAAACAGTTACTAAATAGACCTTATTTAGGACACTAAGTCCTAATCTGTAGTTTGTAATACCATGGAACCACGAAAATGACCAGGTCTGTATGGGAACACAGACTTCCAAACGCTATCAAATAAAGAATAAAATAAAAATCCCAAATCTAAACTATGTGTACAATCCTGTTCCTGGAGGATTTCTTTTAAAAATCATACACACTGGGGCCGGGGAGATGTCTCAGTGGTGACAGGGGATCCGTTCCCAGCACCCACATGGTGACTCATATCCATCAGTAACTCCAGTTAGAGGGGATCTGACATCCTCCTCTGACCTTTGTGGGCATGTATACACATGCAGGTAAAACACTAAAGACATATAATAAATCTAAAAAAAAAAAAAATTAAATCACATATACTCACTGACACATACATTTTTGCTCAAATGATGGAACAGGTTTAACAGTGATTTTCGGGCTGGAGAGATGGCTCAGAGGTTAAGAGCACCGACTGCTCTTCCAGAGAACCTGGGTTCAATTCCCAGCACCCACATGGTGGTTCACAACCATCTGTAATGAGATCTGGTGCCCTCTTCTGGCGTGCAAAGTTACATGGCAGAATGTTGTATACATAATAAATAAATAAGATTTATTTTAAAAAAAAACAAAACAAAAAAACAAAACAGTGATTGTCCCTGACATTGGTCTGTCTGGACCACAAAATAATGCTAGTAAATTCTTGCTTGGTCAAAAGCCACTCCCACCACCTTGCACACAGTAAACACTACAAGTGGTATACACACACACACACACACACACACACACACAATGAAAACGGAACAAGCATACAAAGCGACACACAATATCTTTGAAAAACGGTCAAAGAGCAACAGGAAACCTACACAGTTAAAAAAAAAAAAAAAAAAAAAACACCTTCTTGACCGATCCGTAACAAAGAGCTAAACATCAGACTCACCAATCTGACAGATTGTAAATTGCTGAACACTCTGACGGGTCTTCACATACCACTCAGACGGCAAATCAAAAAGACTGTGAAGAGAGAGGCATCTCATGGCACCTGCGAGGAGGGGGCGGATGCCGGCACAAGACCTCTGGGGCAGGCTCAGCTACTCTCAATCAGGGCCCGGTTGTCCTTGTTACCACAATTAGGGAACGTGTACTATAGCATTTGGCCAACAAAAGCTCTCTCTCTCTCAACAGGTGGGAGCAACCCATCAAAAAAATACCCAACACGGGGTGTGATTAAGGAGACACAGGCGAGGAAGGCTCCTCTCTGTGGGCTGTTAAACAGCCGCAGTACCTGATCTGCTGGGGCCGGGACAAGTTTGAACGCAGACCTGTGAACTCTATGTCGAGACCTACGGGAGAGCAAAGGAGACGAGTCCTCAGGCACAGAGCAAGCCGCCGCCCTTCACACTGGAAGTGCTCCAGGTGGTACACGTGTGCACACATACGCACACGCACACCTTTTGGGTACTCAAGAAGCCAATTTAATCAACAGCAGACAACGGGAGCCTGGGGTATGGTTTCAAACGGGGCTGTTCCGGACACCAGAAGCAGGGGCTGGGGGTGGGATGGCTTCCGGCCCCGTGGGAAAGCCTCCTCTCCATCCTAGGGGCGCTCTCTGAACTCCTCTGGCCTGGAGACCGATCCGGTACTGAACCACACACACCAGTCCCCAGGCTCTCCCTGGCAGGCGACTCCAGTGACAGGGCCTGCCAACCCCGGGTGCCTTACCCACGAAGTCCGCACCCGCGACAAGCTCCTGCAGGAGTGGGAGGCTCTGTTCAAATTCATCGGCGCCCACGTCCATAGCCGCTGGTTCCAGGGCGCGCCGGATGCCGCCACGTGCCGCCCACGCGTTTCCGCTGCGCGGGACCTTAAAGCTCGTGCACGTGGCCCGCTACGGCCAGAACCTGGTTGGTGCGAATTTGAATTTGCGTGGGATGCCCACAGCCCTGACCTTAACTTGCTGGGAAAGTGGAACCTGTTGCAATCAGCTAGTGTGGTCTTTACCGTGAAGCAATGCCTGCCTATGGTACCCAGTGACCAGTCTCCATGCTTACTAGTCTCCGGTCTGATATAGCCTCTTAGTTCTAGACTTACGGTCTCCTAGAGACCTGGGCTTCTTAGTGAGGTGCTTCGATATATTTAACCTGAGGGGGGGGGGGGATATATACCTTTGCCTCCACTTGGGTATTTATTGATATGACGTCTATGATATTGACATGACTCCTATGCCATTAGATGCTGAATGCCTCAGAATCAATGTTTAAAAAAAAAGAGGTATAAGCCGGCGGTGGTGGTGCACGCCTTTAATCCCAGCACTTGGGAGGCAGAGGCAGGCGGATCTTTGTGAGTTCGAGGCCAGCCTGGGCTACCAAGTGAGTCCCAGGAAAGGCACAAAGCTACACAGAGAAACCCTGTCTCGAAAAACCAAAAAAAAAAAAAAAAAAAAAAAAAAGGTATATACGCTTACCATTTTTCTAAAATAATAATGAATTCTCAGAAGTAATATATCCCACTCCTGAATAAAGCTATTGAGGTACACAGTATTTGGACACTGCACTAAAAGTCACCTTGTTTATATGTCTTTTTCACATTATATCAACTTTCAGAGAGCTGCCATGATCTCCCCGAGCTCCAACCTAAGTTAACTTGCATGACGATTTTAATACGTAACTTTATTATGTATATTTTGCAGGCACATACATGTGCACGTGTGCAGTACCTGTAGAGGCCAGAAGTGGGTGTTGGATTCCCTAGAACTTGGGTACCAGCTGTGAGCTACTTACTCTTCTGGTCGTGGGAACCAAACCCAGTTCCTCTGCAAGAGCAGCCAGTGCTTCTGACCACACTGAGCCACCTCTCCAGCCCCTGGTATGACTATTTGTTTATACAGCTTCTTCTACAGCCAGATTTGAATTCTCAAATGAACATTCACCACCCATCATTTCCACCTCCCGTTGGCTGCTCCTCACACTCATTTCTAAGATTTGCCTAGAATCGCTAGGAAGTGAGTCCAAGGAAGTCTACAAGGCGTTTGCAGCATATTGCCAGAGTACTTACAGTTACACTGATATTAAAAACAAGACAAAACGCCAGCCCCCCTCCTGGGCAGCAAGCAACCCTCATTCCCTGATGACTGGCCAGGAGCCATCCATGATACCTAGTGCTTACAGAGACTTCTCCTTTGCTCTGGAGTCACAAGGTGCTTAGATAATAACACAACAAGGGTGCAGAGTTCGTTATGAACGTTTTAATTTGCTCTTCAAATGGGTGTAACTGCTTTTAAGTACTGATGTCCACGAAAGAGGGCAAGTTTAGTCCTCGATTAAAACAAAACCACACAAGCACAAAGTGGGAAGAGGCTCACTTTAAAAAATTTTCCACTGTTACATTATAGCTATGAAGCTTTCAGTCTGGTTTTCCTTCCAAATGCTTTTCTCTCTGTTTTCAGAGGCAGATGCTTTCTTTGGACGGCTCAAGTAGCTGATGGTCTTATGTTTATTCTTTCAAAGCAGTTCATGCTTCTACTTCATTCATAGATTCTCCGAGGTTCCTGAAGCACCACACCGCCCTCTGTCATGGCATTCTGTAAACACTTTATCTGGTTTGAAGATCAGAGAGGGAAAAAAAAAAGGAAAACACTGTTAACCTTCCGAAAACCTGAAACATGTTTGCCTTCCAAGAGACAAAGATACCATTGATTCATCTTGTTGACCTCCCAGCCTGCACTGGTTTTTCTCTGGTGATCTTAGGAACATAAGAAAAAGGAAGTGGAGAGCTATCAGTGATCAGCATCTCCAACTACACAGGCCGATGCCAGCGTTAACAACAGGAAGTGCAGGGCTAACATCCTAGACTCCAGGGACTCTGTCATCTAGCGTTTTAAACGTGCAATACTTACTGACCTCAGTTTGTGGGCTTGCAAAAACCAAGTGCTGTCACAGTACCCAGGCACAGGCCTAACATGTGAACTATCCTCAGAAAATAATGTAAGTGTATCTAATACCAAGAACGAATACAATGTCCTCTGTTGTCTCTTTATGTTGCTAGAGACTGCCCATGCTAGGCAATGCTCTCAGAGCTGCATCCCCAGTTCTGTACCGTGTGTGTGTGTGTGTGTGTGTGTGTGTGTGTGTGTGTGTGTGTACACCATGTGCGCGCGTATGAATGGAACACAAGGCATCCAGCATGGCAGACAAGGCACTGACTTATAGCCCTAGTCCCCACTTTTCCTTTTAAAATTTTGAGACAGGGTATTACTAAGTAATTTAAGCCTTGAACTTGAGATTCCTCTGCCTCAAACCCTCGATGGCTGGAATTATAGACCTGTATCACGCCCCACACACACACTCCCACCCCCACTCTATCCCTGACTAGATGGAACTTGCTTTGTAAACCTGGCCTGAACTCAAGCGCTCCATCTCTCTCTGCTTCTACCACACCAGGCCAAATTTTCATCTTTTCGGTTTGTTTGTTTTTCTAGACAGGGTTTCTCTGTGTAGTCATAGCTATGCTGGAACTCACACTCTGTAGTCCAGGCTGGCCTCAAACTCAATGATCCACCTGCCTCTGCCTCTCGAGTGCTGGGATCAAAGGTGTGTGCCACCACCAATGCCCCAAATTTTTATCTTTTAGGTAAATATATAGAAGTAAAAATACCGAGTCTGAGGATGCCTCCCAAGGGGTTGGCTGGTAGACCATGAAGTTGATTCCTGCTTCTAGGCAGCGCCGTGCCAACACACGTCCTATGCTCTCACAAGCCACCACGTTTCTGGTGTTGTAAAGGTGTTTTTTAATAGCCCATTCACGAGTAGATGCCGAAACCACCACCTGGCCGTTTTGGTGTTCAACCAGTGCTTCTACGTGATGCTGAGTCTTTATAACTCGCAACCTAAGTGGGATGAAAAGAAAATAAAATTGTCAAACAATCCATTTGCCAAAAAGTTCAATTACTTCAGGTGAATAAATGCCTAGGTGTTTCTCAAGAGTGTAGTGACTAGGCTGTTAAGATAGATCAGTGGGGGCTGGACAGATGGCTCAGGGGTTAAGAGCACTGGCTGTTTCCAAAGGTCCTGAGTTCAATTCCCAGCAATCACAATGGCTCTATAATGAGATCTGGTGCCCTCTGCTGGCCTGCAGGCATACATGCTGGCAGAACACTGTGTACATAATAAATAAATCTTAAAAAAAAAAAAAAGATCGCTCAATGGGTAAAGGTTCTTACTGGCAAGACTGACTACCTACATTCAATCCCCAGGACTTACAAGGTAGAATGTGATGTAGGAGTGTGTGATGTATGCAAAGACCTACAAGTATGCACACACCAACAATAAACTGAAAAAAGAAAAATCCCACTCTAACAAATACCGAGGAAACATCCCACCTCCATACTGTAGCACTGTGGTAATAACCTAACGCCCGGGCTCTAAGGTCACATACAAACATGTCTGAATCCTAGCTCTGGCGTTTACTCATCATATCTCCCTCTGTTCGAATTCCCCAGTCTCTGTAAAGTCGAGAAAATTATTACACCTGTTTCATAATGTAGTTTACATAACTAAATGAAAAAATACATAAACTCAAAGCAGCTAGCACAGTTCCTGCTAAATACAATGTTTTCAATAAACAGCCATCTTGGGGCTGGGGAGTGCAGTCCAGGGGCAGAGCACTTGCTTTGTGTGCTGAAGGTCCTGGTCTAACCCTCACAGTTCTCCCAAAATGAAGTTTAACATCGGTTTTTATGTGTATGAGTGTTTTGCCTACATGCATATCTGTTGTTACAGACTGGAGTTACAGCCAGTTGTGGGTCCTGGGACCCGAACCTGGGTCCTCTGCAAGCGCAGTGCCTTTTAACCAACGAGCTATTGCTCCAGCCTCCACAAATAAAATTCAAAAGTTTTTAAAGAAAGTACTTATTTCTACAGTCTTGTAACTGTCCTTCCGATTATTCCCCACCTCAAAAACTAAGGCCCAGACTTTATTCTCTATTATTTACCCTAATCCGTAAACTAATAACCTAATTCTGCTTTCTGTAAGTAGCTGTTTTCTTTTCTTTTTTTTTTTTTAAGATTTATTTATTTATTATGTATACAGTGTTCTGTCTGCATGTGTGCCTGCATGCCAGAAGAGGGCGCCAGATCTCATTATAGGTGGTTGTGAGCCACCATGTGGTTGCTGGGAATTGAACTCAGGACCTTTGGAAGAGCAGCCAGTGCTCTTAACCGCTGAGCCATCTCTCCAGCCCCCAGCTTTCTGTTTTCATCACACTTCACTCACCCCTTTATTTACTGAACTCCAGGTACACACGCCTGGAGGTTCCTCACAGACACTAAACCCAATCCCAGCCTAGTAGCCTCCTCTACCAGAATGTCCTTCATGGCAGATGGTTGTCTTCCTGTCCTTTAGGATCTCAGCTTTTTTGTTTGCTTTTTGCCTTTTCATTTTTTTAAAGATTTATTTTATTTATTTATTTACTTTATTAATTTATTATGTATACAGCATATGTGACTACAGGCCAGAAGAGGGCACCAGATCTCATTATAGATGGTTGTGAGCCACCATGTGGTTGAATTGAACTCAGGACCTCTGGAAGAGCAGTCAGTGCTCTTAACCTCTGAGCCATCTCTCCAGCCGCTTTTGCCTTTTCAAGACAGGGTTTCTCTGTGGAGCTTTGGAACCTGTCCTGGAACTCACTCTGTAGACCAGTCTGGCCTCAAACTCACAGAAATCCACCTGCCTCTGCCTCCTAAGTGCTGCGATTAAAGGCGTGTGCCGCCGCTGCCCGGCTAGATCTCAGCTTTTTGACATGTCACCTCTTCAGAGAGAGGTCAATACATAGTCTCTTGTTATCTTTAAAAGTTTTCTTCAGGACAACCATTAGTTGTTTGCTCCATGGTCGCTCTACTCACGTCACTTTCCTGACACTGGCTTATCTGGCGGGGTCGGTCAATCAAGGAATGATGAAAAGGACGTGTGAGGTGCTATGCACAGCTCTCGGCAGTCAGCCACAAGCCGACTTCAATTACCTGTGCCAGAACTCCCGGCTGGGCCACACTGTAGCCCAGCCCCGTTCTTTCCTGGCTACACCTAAGAGCTCCAGATTCCGAGGGTTCCGGTTGATGAACTCGGGGGCCACAGCCTCGTTTTCCTTCGTCTCCGCTTCGGGCTGAACCGCGGGCGTGGAACTGGTTGAGAGGGCTGCGAGCCCACGCTCTAGGAAATGAAAACGACCCCACGGATGTTTAAAATGACTGTTCCGGGCACGAGCGGGGCATGCTCTGACCATTCCCATCGCCAGGCCCAGAGGCGGGGAGAAAGGGCCCTCTGCCCACCGGTGACCACCACAGACCCATAACGTTCTACGGTCACCCCGGGGCGGTCAGTGCGTTCCCTTTCCCACGCGGAACCCGGGGAGGGGGGGTGTGTGCAAAACCGGATTTGCAAATTCCCATATACTGTGCACAGAGCGCAGGCACCGGAGTGGGGCGAGATTAGTTACCCAGGTTCCTGCCAACAGACAGGCCCTTCCAGAACCGCGGCTGGAGCGCCATCGCTGGCGGGACGTCGGCAAAGCCTCCCGGTGTGCCCTGCCTGCCCTTGCCCACCGCTGCCGGAGCGAAGGCCTAGCGGCCCGCAGCCATATTAACTGAGGGAAAAGCTACAGCTGCCAGCAGGTCCTTGGTGTCTCGGGGACCCGGAACTTAACAAGCTCCCTAGTCCTGAGTGGCCGAGGGAGCGGTCAGTTATGTCTAATCCGCCAATCGCCGGGGACGTCGAGGCGAGGGGCGGAGACAGGCTGAGGTTTTTGGCGGGCCTGGTCGCAGAGCGGCCGACCACGACGGGGCGCACCCGCCTTGAGCTCGGCAGGGCAGCGCGGGGTGCACGGTTTCCCCGTGGGGCCTGGACTGAGTCTCAGCTGATTCGCCGTGTGCTCCCGGACACCTAAATACGGGGGCTCAAAGATGAACGGCGCTCAGGCTCCCACCTGAACCTAGCAAGGGGATCCGTCTGCTTCGCCCCCCCGCCCCATCCCACCCCCACTCAACCCTACCCACTTCCCTAGAAAGCGCTAGAACGTGCAAACGCGCATGCGCACCGTGAGGCCTGACTTCGGCTCCCCACCCTCGCGCCTTTCTTATCCAGCTTCTGATTGGACAAAAAATCGTAGGACCCTCCACTTCCGGCGTTTTCAGCCCTCCCCCCGCCGCTCCCAGTCCCTTCTTCCCAGCGTGCCTCGCAGCTAGCTGAAAGTGGGACGCGGGCGGGGCGCGTTACCCAGCAGCCCGCGCGGCGCCGCTCGGGCCTCTCCACGCCGTGGTCCCTGTCGTGGTGGCCGCTGACCGGCCCGGGAGCGGAGATACCGTTTAGTGTGCGGGGTTAGCGAGCTCGGCCAGGCTCCCGAAAGATGGAGGGTCCTTTGTCCGTGTTCGGGGACCGCAGCACCGGGGAGGCGATCCGCTCCCAGAACGGTAAGGACGGGAGAGGGCCGGGCCCGCGGCGGCGCAGGCCGAGGCCCAGCCGCGGTCGGGAGGCCGGGGCCACCGTCTTGGCACCGTGAAGTGGCCCCGAGGAGCGGCCCGGGCCCAGTGCGGGCCGGCTCGCCGCCGTTGCGCCCTTCCGTGTAAGGGAGGAACGTTCGGGAGCGCAGCACGTTTTTTGGGGGGGAAGCGCGCAGGATGGGTGTGGGCGTCCGCGCCCCGAGTGAGAGCTGCGTTAACCTGGAAGGCGAGCTCCGGACCTACTCGCCTGCCACGCCCCACAGCCCCTTTGTTCAGGTTCTAGCCGGGTTGCAGCGTCCCTGACTTGACCGGAGAAGAGTAGTTTCCCTCCCGTCCCGTTTGCTCCCGAGAAAATGCCCGCAGGTTTTAGGTGGTCTCTGCGATGCGTCCCTCCGGCTGGCCGGCCGGCCGGGTTCTTGGATGTCCAGATCTTGGCAGTTGACAGCTGCTCCCAGTAAAACTTAACGGATCGCAGATTGAACGTTAGCAAGCGACACTTAGCTACCATTATCGTTGTTAACGTTAATAGGAATCAACACGTGGTGAGCTGTAGTCGAGCCTGTTTCTGAAAGTATTTAACGTCTTCGAATCGTGGTTATGCTTACTAATTTTTTTTATTAAAGCTCCCCCTCCCCCGAAATACAATCACTAATTAGATGGATTATCTACTATTCTTATTAAAACTTGCTAGAGTCTGAAGGAAAAAAATCTGAGGTGTACCTTAAAATTTTTCCTGCGTGGCTGGAGAGATGGCTCAGTGGTTAAGAACACTGGCTACTCTTCCAGGGGCCCGGGTTCAGTTCCCAGCACCCACATGGCAGCTCACAACTATCTGTAACTCTAGTTCCAGGAGATCTGACACCTTCACAGCAATGCACATAAAATAAATTTAAATAAATTATTTTAAAGATGTTTTGCAATGAACAGTGGCAGGGATTACTCTTTGGAAGATTTTTGTTGGTTTTTTGTTGTTGTTGTTGTTTTGAGACAGGATTTCTCTGTGTAGCTTTGGCACCTGCCCTGGAACTCGATCTGTAGACCAGGCTATCCGCAAACTTTTTGGAACATTTGACATACTCAAAATAAAATAGTTAAGCTTCACTAGCCCTTAAATAGGTGGGGTTCCCCCCCCCCCAGATTTGTAGATTTGAGAAAATCATAGGTGCTTGGATGTCTCTTGTTTGTGAATTGTTCTGATTTTTTTTCCCATCTACAGTTATGGCTGCAGCTTCTATTGCCAACATTGTTAAAAGTTCTCTTGGACCAGTTGGCCTGGATAAAATGTTGGTGGATGATATTGGTGTAAGTATATCTAACTATTCTTAGTTGCCTTGATAAAAATAATTTCAAAAAAACCTCAAGATGGTTTTCTCTGTAAAGTCTTTGTTTCTACTTAAGTATATTAAAGCTGAGTGTATATTTCCCAGGATGTAACCATTACTAATGATGGTGCCACCATCCTGAAGTTACTGGAGGTAGAACATCCTGCTGCTAAAGTTCTTTGTGAGCTGGCCGACCTGCAAGACAAAGAAGTTGGAGATGGAACTACTTCAGTGGTGAGGCACTGCCTGGGAGTGGCTAGAGAATAGTCACTTTATTAAAGTTGAATCCATGACAGAATCCTTTAATTTAGGTCAGAAATAAGTCATGTGTTTATGGTCTCATAAACATTTGAAAACTAATCATTATAACTAGTTTGTGCAATTTAAGTAGGAAAAGAACTTAGGTAGTTGAATATAAGCTTGTTTTAAATACTGGGGTCTCATGAATTTGGGAGCTTATTTTCAACTCCCTTGCCATGATGTTTAGATGTAGAAAAGAGCCGCCGCCCCCCCCCCCCCCCCACACACACACACACAGGGTTTCTCTGTGTAGCTTTTGGTGCCTGTCCTGGAATTCACTCTGTAGCTCAGGCTGGCCTCGAACTCACAGAGATCCGCCTGCCTCTGAAAAGAGTTTCTTATTTAAAGAAGAAAGTGTTACCAGGTTTGGGCTTCTTTGTTTGTTGTTTAATAGATACTTTTGAATTTTAAATGTGGGCAGGAAATCTTGGAAATGAAGAATAAAAGGTTGAGGAAGTTAATTTGCTACCATACAGTGCTAATTGCTAGTCAGCAAACATGATTAATAACACACACTTGAATTATCCAGCATACTGATATAATACTGTTTAATGAGGATGATGTTAACTCTAGCTAAACAGATTGTGGGGACATTTATTTAGAGACTTAATTTGGCCTTAAAAGACTGGAATCTTATGATCCTAAACAGTGAAAAAGTTCAATATTTTAAATGATTTTTAAGATTTAATTAAACAGAATAGCAAATATTTCAGTTGTTAGATATTTAGCTTTTGTTGCATTCAATCTCTAAATATAATGGCTATAAATTCTGTTGTGCTGGGGTTTTAGCATTTTTCTGGTGTTTGTAGCTCGGGCCATTTGCACAGAATACTTTGTAGTGGTCTCCATTTTATATTGTCAGCAAGCTGCCACTAACGTGTCTGCTGTGGCTGGTTAATAATGCCAGGCTGTAGCTGGACGTAGTAGTGCACACCTTTAATCCCAGCAGTGGAGAGGAATTGGCCAGTGGATCTCTGAGTGAGACCAGCCTGGTCTGCAAAGTGAGTTCCAGGACAGCCAGAGAAACCCTGTCTTGAAAAAACAAATAAGTAAATACAATAAAAATAAAGACATTAGGTCATTTTAATGTTTTTCTGTATATACATTGTGCCATGAATACTTAAAGCAGTGTTTAATCAACAGGTAATTATTGCAGCAGAACTTCTGAAAAATGCAGATGAACTAGTCAAACAGAAAATTCATCCAACGTCAGTTATTAGTGGCTATCGGCTTGCCTGCAAGTAAGATTACCTTCAAAGAAAATGTTATTGTGTGTAGTGGTTGTAGTCTGCTTAATGTTGTGACTAATCTTAAATTGGAAATGTCATGTTTTAGCATTAGGTGGTACTGTTTGAAGTGCTCAGCCCAGTGTGCTGCTTTTTTCCCATTTGACTACCACGTTTTCTCCTAATAGATTTTAGTGGCTATGCTTATGGGATAGAGGAAAGGTGCCATGATCTGAAGAGGGAGGACTTTTCAGTGTCTTCCCCCTATATGAAATGGCTGAACAGAAAACTACTGCCTGTGACATTTGATAGTGTGTTAAGCGTGGTAAAATGCAGAACTTCTGAGTGACGTGTCTATATTTTTCTTTCCTGTAACAGGGAAGCAGTGCGCTATATCAGTGAGAACCTTATTATTAACACAGACGAACTTGGAAGAGACTGTCTGATCAATGCTGCTAAGACATCCATGTCTTCCAAAATTATTGGAATGTATCCTTAAATGTTCCAGGGAAATTTGGCCCACCTTTCACTCTTAAAAATAAGACTAGGTTTTACAGAATGTCAATTTTATGCGATAAAATTTAAAATGCTAGGCTAATGCAAATTGATGTTGTTGGAGAGAAACGGCTGGACCTGCTGCTGCCTTTCCAGCCTTGCCATGACGAAGGGTGATGTGAAATGCAGGTGGAGGTAAATGTACACAAGTCACCTTAACTGTAGGAATAGTACTTTCCAAGTCTGTTGTTGTCTTTAACTGTTGTCTCAGAAATGGTGATTTCTTCTCTAATATGGTAGTGGATGCTGTACTTGCTGTTAAATACACAGATATGAAAGGCCAGCCTCGATATCCAGTCAATTCTGTTAATATTCTAAAAGCCCATGGGAGAAGTCAGATAGAAAGCATGCTGATCAATGGCTATGCACTCAATTGTGTGGTGGGATCTCAGGGTAAGTAAGGTTCAGGGTTATTTGGAAATTGAAACTACTACAGTTCAGTCACTTTTTTTTGTTTAGGTTTTTGTCTGTGTGTTTTTCATAGTATATATCTTAATAGGCTTAAATTTTTGAGATGGGGAGCTGGGCATGGTAGAACGGGGCATTTAATTCCAGCACTGAGGAATGGTGGGTAGGCAAGTCTCTGAATTTAGGCCAGCCTTGTCTACATAGTGAAAACCTGCCTTTAAAATAAAAAATGAAAAGGAATTTGTGGTGGGTATAGATGGAAAGAATTGTGTGCCCTTGCGATCACCAGACTTTGCTAAGGTTTAATGTAATTACTTGCCGTCTACATTTGGTTTCTGTATAACATGAAATTTTTTGTTATGGTTTTAAGGATAACTGTCTTTTATGAACCCTAACATTGTTATAGTTGACCTTTTATTCATTTACAGGCATGCCCAAGAGAATAGTTAATGCAAAAATTGCTTGTCTTGACTTCAGCCTGCAGAAAACAAAAATGAAGCTTGGTGTACAGGTGGTTATTACAGACCCTGAGAAATTGGACCAAATTAGACAGAGGTATGTGGGGAGAGTTTTGCCTGTGAAAGGATGTTTGTAAATTAACATTTGTGCTGGGTAGAAGAAGCATGATAGAAAATAATGATTAGTCAAGCAGGCATGTTCTAGCTTTATGTGTCTGAAACAGGTGGATCATTTAAGCCAGGAATTGTGGTCAAAATTGGCAGCATAGTGTTGCCTCAAGTGTTCGGGTCTGGGTGTGGCTGCTGTGGGTCTCACCTGAGATGCTGTGTGCTAAGGCAGTGTGACACAGCTGGCGGTGCTGACTTGCAGCTGCTGTGACGTCACTCTAGCAGACATGCTTTCCTCCATTGTACTCTTGGGCATTGCTGTTGTGTAATTGGCCTATCGCTGACCAGTCTGTCCATTATGTGAATGGGACGTGGCTCTAATAGTTGACTTTTAATCCCTTCCGTTTGCTTATGGTTTTCATGGTACATGTTACTGCCTCCTGGCAGGTTCATCTCAGACTTGTTAGAAATGTCCACAAATGAGCCAGGCAGTGGTGGCACATGCCTTTAATCCCAGGAGACAGGGGCAGGGGGATTTTTGTGTGTTTGGGGCCAGCCTAGTCTACAGAGTGAGTTCCAGAACAGCCAGGGAATCACAGAGAAACCTTGTCTTAAAAGAGAAAACAAAAGAAAAAAATGTCCACAGATGAACTCTGATTGCCTAACTAGTCCTAAAAGCTGTATTTTGCTTCAGGAGTCCTTGGCTGTACCTTACAGGAACATAATTTTATTAACTCTTACTTTTCGGGTCAATCTGTCTATCTTTGACAGATTACTTACCTCTGGTTTCCGTCTCTGAAGTCTTCATCTTTTCGGTCATTTTCACATTCACATTGCAGGCTTATTTGAAAACAGTAAATGTTGACAGTCATGGCCTTAGCTCAGGACATTGAAGCGTCTTCACCATCTGCTCTTTAACATATTCTTGTATGGGTCTTCATTCTCTGGTCTTATGTAACTTCTGCTGGTTCAACTCTGAACCACTGTTTTGTTATTTGTTTGTTTTTTGAGACAGGGTTTCTCTCTGTAGCTCTAGCTGTCCTGGAACTCCCTCTGTAGACCAGGCTGGCCTCCCACTCACAGAGATCCACCTGATTCTGCTTCCAAAGTGCTGGGGTTAAAGGCATGTGCCACCACTGCCATCGTGAACCACTTTGTTATCCCTCTATGTAGGGCTGGATTTCTATCTTTCTTACCTGTCTTGATACTTTGTCACCCTTAATTAGGAACTAAAATTGTAGTTGAAAGAGCAAGTGTTATTTTCAAGTCTTTGAAATTAACATAAGTTGGACTGATTGAACTTCTAGTTTTAGTGGGAAAGAATAGTTAATAAAATGTGTAACTAGTGAAAGTTACAGCTGCATTATTTAAAATGCTGAAGTTGTTCATTTTGGTATTTTGTCTATAGAGAATCAGATATCACCAAGGAGAGAATTCAGAAAATCCTGGCGACTGGGGCCAATGTAATTCTCACCACTGGTGGGATAGATGATATGTGTCTGAAGTATTTTGTGGAGGCTGGTGCCATGGCTGTTAGAAGAGTTTTAAAAAGAGACCTCAAGCGTATTGCTAAAGCTTCTGGAGGTATGTCTTCTCCCAGCCTGAGACAAACTACTTAGTAACACATGTGACTGGGTCAAAGGTCTTTTAATTGTAATATTGGTACTCAGTTTTTTCCTCCTTGTGGTGGTGCTCTAATGGAGTCATTCCCCCCCCCCCAGGTAACTGGAAAAGTTGTTTAATGCTGAGTTTGTTGGAAATGAGTAAACTGATTTTATCTCAAAAATGACAGTTTTGTTAAGTTGTAGTGGCTTGTCTGTAACCTTAAAATAATGCATTGCTTTTCTTATAAGAAAAATCACTAAACTGAAACCATGAAAAAAAATATGTATCATTATGACTCTTTCATACAGCAAGTATTCTGTCCACACTGGCCAATTTGGAAGGCGAAGAAACTTTTGAAGCTACAATGTTGGGACAAGCAGAAGAGGTTGTACAGGAGAGAATTTGTGATGATGAGCTGATCTTAATCAAAAAGTAAGAACTACTTTTGGTTTTTCAAGACAGGGCTTCTCTGTGTAGTTTTGGTGCCTGTCCTGGATCTCACTCTGTAGCCAAGGCCGGCCACGAACCCACAGAGATCCGCCTGCCTCTGCCTCTCGGGTGCTGGGATTAAAGGTGTGTGCCACAGCCGCCTGGCAAGAACTACTTTTGTAAGTTACAAAGCAATGCAGATTCTGTTGTAAAAATTCTTTCCCATTTATTTGCTGCTCTAGTCTCTCAGTGGTAGGAGCAGTTATACGCATGGGATAAAATAATACTGGGCCATTGTAAATTGGGATGAAGTGTGTTTTGTCTCTTCTACATGGTCCAGACATTGTTCTTGGTGCCTTATGTTTAAATGTGAACAGGATTTAACCAAGGGTGTTTGCAGTTAATATTGTTTTCATTAATTAAAGAACACTAATGACTTTACTTGTTTTTTTTGTAGTACCAAGGCTCGTACATCTGCATCAATTATCTTGAGAGGAGCAAATGATTTCATGTGTGATGAAATGGAGCGGTCTTTACATGACGCTCTTTGTGTGGTGAAGAGAGTTTTGGAGTCAAAATCTGTGGTCCCAGGTGGAGGTGCTGTAGAAGCTGCCCTGTCCATATACCTTGAAAACTATGCAACCAGTATGGTAAGGGTGGATTCGGAAAGGCGGCCTAGGAGATGGTGGTGTTGGGTAGACCTGTCAGGACATACTGCTGTGTGCTTTTGTTTTCTTTCCTGAAGACACTGCATGTCTTTCTTCCTAGGGATCTCGGGAACAGCTTGCTATTGCAGAGTTTGCAAGATCTCTTCTTGTTATTCCTAATACACTGGCAGTGAATGCTGCCCAGGACTCCACTGACCTGGTTGCCAAGTTAAGAGCTTTCCACAATGAGGCTCAAGTTAACCCAGAACGTAAAAATCTAAAGTGGTGAGTATACAATGTTCCATTGTCAACTGTCATGAGTTCATCATAGTACCTTTGTCCCTCCCTACACCTTGTGAAATATTTGTCACATACTGAAGCATTACAGGAATCATTGTTGCTTGGTACCTATCTGATGGTGGCTGCTGACTTTTAGCAGTGTTATGTTCTAGTGTAAACTCTGGGTTCCAACCTGACACTCTGGATAGTCTGTAAGAAGTCCACGAGGATGATCTTAGATTATTCTTACCCTTTTCAGGCAGCCCCCTCAGCTTACAGTGAATACAGTCTCAGAATAGTGTATCATTACCTCATCTGGTCCTTATGAGAACTTCATAAAGTATACATAACACCAAGTAAGACAACTGTGCTGTCACTAGGCAAAGGAATCTTTCGGCCAACAAACTGTATGCAGAACTTGGCTGAACATAGTATCAGCATGCAACATGTGACTTTTGCTAAATGTTTGGCAGGTAGGTTTGTCTGTTACACTACCAGCTTTTCTACTCCCAGAGGTACACTTGTTAGAACTCCCAGTCTTGTGGACTAGAATAGCTGGAACACTCCATATCCGCTTAGAAGAGGTCATTGAATCAGATTTCCACCATTACAGGATTGGTCTTGATTTGATTAATGGGAAGCCACGAGACAACAAGCAAGCAGGGGTGTTTGAACCAACCATAGTTAAAGTGAAGAGCCTGAAGTTTGCAACAGAAGCTGCAATCACCATTCTTCGAATCGATGATCTGATAAAATTGCACCCAGAAAGCAAAGACGATAAACATGGAAGTTACGAAAATGCCGTTCACTCTGGAGCCCTTGATGACTGATTGGATCTCCCTTTTATTTATGGCAGTGTCAGGGGCAGTGTCTTAGCCTTGGGTGACTCACATTAAAGTTCAACAGGCTGTCCACCTGGGTTCCTGTCCTCACTTTGGTCCTCTGATTTCACCTACTATCTAGTGTTTCACTGATTTAACAAGAACATTTCAAGGCTGATGGCTGTCAGGCAGGTCACCCTCTCTGAACACACATTGCTATCCCCATCCCACCCCCAATGCACAGGGCTGCCACACCACGTGTCCCGCCCATTCTCTCAAGGCTGTGTAACAAGGTCACTAGAATCCTACAGCCAGATGCTCCCAGAGGATGGCCCAAGGCAATGGCTCCTCCATCGATGTTGACCTGCAGGAAAGGAGAGGATCTTAAGTCAGTCTTGTGTGGACACAGGCTAACACCCCCAGTCTTGTCTTTCTCCTCTCAGTGTTAATGCTAGCAAACCACCCTTTCAAACTCAACTTTCCCTGTAAAGCTTAGGAGTAAATACTGCCTGTGACAACTCTGATCCCTTCTTTCTAGAATGTCCTGTTCATTGTGAACTAACATACTCAGTTCTTTACTGTGAAAACCAACCAACAAGTCAACTGAACACATGGCAGAAACAAACTTGGATTGTGCAAGTTCACTGGCAAACAGCACAACTTGCCCTATTGGTTACCTTCTCAGGGTTTAATCCAAGTTCTTTAGCTATTGCAACAGAGAGAGCTGCGTAGGCTTCATTGATTTCAAATGCGTCAACATCCTCCAGGGTCCAGCCTGCTTTGGCAACCTACAGGAAAAATGAAGTTAAACCATTAGTTATTGACAGATACATGATGTATGGGATTCTGGAAACTGCTACTATGAAGTTAGGTGTGTCATGGTGCCTTCTACCTGTGTCCCGAGGGTTCAATGGGCTGAAATCAGCCTACATAATGTTCCCTTAAGAGCGATATGACGGACTCCTTTAGTGACACACCACAGTGTAGAAGATACTCGAGCTAGAGAGTGGCAGGCCTGTAGTCTGGGCATTTAAGAGGCTGGACAGGCCAACTAAATTTGAGGCCAGGTTGAGCTATGTAGAGCAAGGCCCAGCCTCAAAACCAAAAAGATGGACTTTACCCCTAATGTAGAAAGGAAGTCCAAACTGTCCTGTTAGGTGTAATACAGAACATTTAGATCTAGTACTTTTTAGGTTTGAACTGGCAGAGCTCAATCCCCAGCACCCATATTTTAAGAAAGCCAGGCTTAGAGATGTACACTTGTAATCCCATGCTGAAGAGGTTGGGGTGGGCAGACTTGGGGCAAATGAAACCTAGTGGCGGAAAGTCAAAGCACCTCCTTACATCGAGAGTGGAAAGGTTTGGAGTAGAGGTTTAAAGAGTGCTTACTACAGAGCAGCATACTTTACACCATGTATATGCACACAGAAAAGTGAAAATTTAAAGTTAACGTCACTGCTAATGCTCCCCTGTAACCTCAGCATTTGGGAAGCTACTAGGTGGAAGAGCAGATCAATATCCTCTGGCTACACAGTTTGAAAGCAGCCTGGGCTTCCTCAAACCCTGTCATACATGTGCCCAAGTGTGTCCACAGACACACATACTCATTGCTAAAAGAGACTCACAGCTTGCTTGATGGCTGGAATTGGTCCTGTTCCCATAATGGAGGGCTCCACACCAGCCTGTGACCAGGAAACTATTCTTGCTAAAGGTCTCAGCATTCGACTCTCGGCTTCTGTCTTCTTCATAAGAACCACAGCAGCAGCACCATCGTTCATCCCTGTAAACAGGTGACCTGGTTTCTACAGTGCTCTCTAACCCCAGGTATAGACCCAGGGCCTCCTTTTCTACCTGAAACCATTAAGTTACTGACAAGTTAGCAAGGCCCTTTGCTGTGACTCATCAGACTTCACAGTGTACTCAGAAGTGGTCAAGTATGGAATACGATGTCGACCATACATTGTGAGATGCCCCCAATAGCTATGGAGATGAGGGGGATGGGGCACCGAGGATGAAAGAAAAATTAAGAAATAAGCCAAGGCCTTACAGGTACTGGGACTTCCTGGAATTGGAAAAGTATGTAGTGAATGAATATAGGGTTTTGTTTTCAGATAGTGTCTCACTGTGTAGCTCTGGCTAACCTAGAATTTATTACTTAGACCAGGACAAACTTGAAACCATACAGGGTTTCTCTGTGTAATACCCCTGGCTTTCCTGGAACTCACTTTATAAACTAGGCTGCCCTTGAACTCACAAAGATCCACCTGCCTCTAACTCCCAAGTGCTGGGATTAAAAGTGTGCACCACTATATCCAGCTACTCTGGAGCTCTTATCTGTCTAGTCTAGATGTCAAGAAAGCAAATCACTTTAGAACAGATTAATAACCAATACTATAGAAAGGACAAGCTTTTCCATAAACCCAGCTTTAGGAATCATTTTGTGTAGAAAGATTGGCTTGGTAGACCTCACCAAAGTCTGCACTTTCCCCAGTGCCCTTCAGAAATTGAACCTGTTGCATTGGCAGTGGTGACGGTTCCCGTCCCATCGGTAAGAAAGTAAGGTTTTAGCTTGCCCATGGCTTCCATGTTACTCCCATGGCGAGGAAACTCATCAATTTTCACTTCAGTAAGACCTGAAAAAAGTAAAACCAGTTAACCTGGGATGAAGACAGAGAAGGCAGAGGGCTGGGATTGGGGACATCTCAGAAACAAGAGGATTCATATTTGGCAGAAAGGTTTATTAACGTTTACCCACTTCCATTCCTGTAGGAATTACTAGAATTACTACATGCTACCCTATGAGAACTCTTCATGAGACAGGCTGGCTGTGTTCCAAATCCACAGGCCTTCCTAAGGACAGAGGTATTTGAATTGTGTGTACATGGGTTTGTGATTGCATTGAGCTGGCTAAAACTGAATCAGGAGCAGAACAATCCACCCTCTGTGAGCTGAGCATGGATATCAGTTATTGATAAGGAAACTGTCTGCAGATTCAGAGCATGGACAATAACCTAACATGATACATCCTCTGCAAATAGGATGTGAGATGTACATGGGAGCAACTGGAAAGGCTTTATTTAGACTGCATAGGAAAGTTGTCCTCCTGTCAACCACAAACTGATGCTCCACTTTTCGTGGAGCCCACTGGATAATACACATTGCAGCTGTGGACAGTTTGAAGATGATAGTTTCCCATGTGACCATATCCCAAGTAGACAGTATTTTTCAGCCAGGTGTGGTGACTCACCTGTAATCCCAGCTCTCAGCAGCACAAGCAGGAGGAGGGTAGCCTGGTCTACATAGTGACCTGTAGTTCATCCAGGGCTACACAGCAGGACCATGTCTCAAAACACCATATCACCATCTGCTCGCTCACATTCATGCTCACATTCAGATGTATAAAGTCTACACCTTTACAACTTGTAAAGACCAGTTCCCAAACGGCCCTACCTACCATCCTTGCAGGCGTTATTGATGCCTGCAAACAGGCTCATGTTACTGTGCTCTCCACACTCACCTTTTCTGGAAGACACCAACACTGGCACAATCTCCTTGTCAAAGTGGCCAGCTTTCTGTGCACGCTCTGCCCTGTTCTGGGACAGAACTGCAACCTGGTCCTGGGCTTCTCTACTCACTTGCCATTTTTTGGCTACATTTTCAGCTGAGGAGAAGAAAAGGCGAAAACAGCATATTCGTGAGCTGGGTTTTGGTAGCTCAAGTTACTCACATTTAACCAGAATTAACAGTACACACCAGCAGACCTCTTGGTAAGAGAGGCACTGCTCTACAGGCTGGTTCTGCTGTCCTGATAGTGGACCGGAAATCCAGTGCCTCTTGACAGGCATTTCTTTTCTTTCTCTTTTTCTTTTTTCTGTTCCCCTGAGACAGGGTTTCTCTATAGCTTTGGATCCTGTTCTGGAACTCACAGAGATCCACCTGTCTCTGCTGGGATTAAAGGCTTGTGCCACCATGCCCGGCTTTTCTTTCTATATAAGGAAGTGTAAACTTCCAGAAATCAGTATCCAGATACACCATTAATATTTTTGCCCCATTTATCAGAACATTCTCTTTCCTAACCACCTGAGGCAAAGATGAAAATACAATTCCCTTTTATCTCTGAATTAAATCATTATATACTTCCCTTGAACAAAATATTTATAGATTATTTAAAAACAGAATCGAGCTGATGATATGTCTCCACAGCAAGATAAAGATGCTTGCTGCCAATGCTGAAGACCTGGATTCCACAGAGGGAGAGTAACTGACTACTGCAGGTTGACCTATGACCTCCAGACAATCACTTTAGTACTTGCATACCTGTGTGCCAATGCACACACAAATACAGATTTTAAAACCCTTTTTAAACAATCAGGAAATTTAACATCAATACTAATTCTTAGCTCATCTTCAAAGTTGATCTATTATACTATTAAATCTTGAGAAAAGAGAAAGCCAGGTGTGGTGGCGCACGCCTTTAATCCCAGCACTTGGGAGGCAGAGGCAGGTGGATCTCTGAGTTCCAGGCCAGCCTTATCTACTGAAATGAGTTCTTGGACAGCCAAGGCTACACAGAGAAACCCTGTATTTAAAAATAATGTTGGGGTTGGGGATTTAGCCCAGTGGTAGAGTGCTTGCCTAGCAAGCACAAGGCCCTGGGTTCGGTCCTCAGCCCTGAAAAAAAAGAAAAAAAAATGTAGAATATTATTTTGAAGGTGTGTTACTTTTGTTTATGTTGCATTTGTTTAACTGTGAAGCTGTGTTACTGTGCCTGTCTAAAACACCTAATGGTCTAATAAAGAACTGAACAGACGATAGTAAAGCAGGAGAAAGGATGTATATAAGGAGAAAACTGAGAGGAGGATAAAGGAGGAGTAGGAGGACTCCAGGGACCAGCCATCCAGCTACACAGCAAACCACAGAGTAAGAATAAGAATTACAGAAGTAAGAGAACAGGAAAAGCCCAAAGGCAAAAGGTAGATGGGATAATTTAAGAAAAACTGGCTAGAAATAAGCCAAGCTAAGGCCAGGCATTTATAATTAAGAATAAGCCTCTGTGGGTGGTGGGCCTCCAAAAGAGCAAAAACAAACAACAA